GGATAAGAAAAGTTACCTGCATAACGATCCGAAAAATGAGGGAAAAGAAATATCAGCTGAAGATACAAAGAACGCAATTCTTCAGCTTGCGATTGATGCTAATTTAGCCTCACGATATACAAGGTAAAAATTGCCGGACGGTAAACAAGAATGATGTGTTAAGAGGTTAGCTCGATTCTAATCATCTTCAATTATTTATTAAGTTTTCTGGCAATCGATGAAAGAGACAAAATCTTATCGAAAGCTGAAATTCAAAAGCGTGTTGTTCCTACGCAGACAAGCGCTCCACCCATGCTTCAGGTAAAGGAGAATCGAAAGCGAAAGAGAGAGAGAAAGTTTGTTTTTTTGTATTTTTTTTTTTTGGATAAAATAACAACATTGTTAACACAATTACTTTTTGTAGAGAGCCTACCAAACATACAGCCTTGCTTATGCGGCTCCTCCTCCCCCTCCTTCTCCTATTGTCCTTCAGTCTGCTACCCGTGTTCTCAGTTCTGCCCCTGGTGGTTTTGGCGCCGCAATGTCTGCACAACCAACTTCCAGTGTCTCTATGCCACGCATGATGAAGTTTCGTCGTAGTAGTAGCAAGGGTGAAGGCGCGGCGCCGCCGGATGCTAAACCAGTTGGATTTTCAGTTGTATCTGATCCGAAATTGGCTGAAATTGAAACTCTTTATAAGTTTACTAGTTTTCAGGCTTTTGATGGGTTTTTCAAACCGACTGCAGAGCTATCGGAATTCTTTTCAAAGGGAAAAGACAGGAATTTATTCCGAAACAAAGATCAAGATTCTGTCTGGTCTACTTGCATTGCTTTGGCGTATCTTGAGATTGTAATGAAAGGTTTCAAGGAAGAGTGGGAATTGTGTTATGAAAAAGCTCAGACTGCATTAAATGAGTCGAGTGGGTACGATTCTGGCGTTATCGAGAAAATGCTGCAAGATGCGAGAAAGTGGGTTACTGAGTGGTTTGCTAATACCAAGTGAAAAGTTTGTTCAGAATCTGATAGTTAACCGTCATACTTTACTAATCTCGATTAACGGTCAATTATCGTGGTTTTTGGGGAAAGTTTTTTGAGTTTTTAATCAATGTAACCATCCATCAAATAAATACAGATAATATTAATTTAACTGTTATCAGTTGATCCTTTTTTCAATACAAGATTACCCATCGAGGGCAATGGTATGGGATTTGAAAACGTCCTACATTCTGTGCAGCTCCAAAAAATTCGATCGGAGATGTCTTCCACTGACTGGCATTTGTAGTCATGCAGCTGTAATTATACCCGCAAACTAATGTCTATACTACACAGCTTCGCCGCATAAACAATTACGACAGTATTTCAACAGATATAATAGAAGATGTAAACGGTTAATGTGTCAACTTTTTATTATTTCTGTAATATTATATAAACGATATAATTTCTACAAGCTGAAAATACACGATTATTCCCTAAATTATTCGAGATAGCTGAGAAAAAACCGCTTCGCCTCGAGAATATTTTTCGTAACAGTATGATAATTGTTTATTTATGAGAAAGCGCGTGTTACGATATCGCATCGGAAGAAAGTGGTAGATTGCTCGAGACTGACACTAATTTGTGAGAGAAAGGCCTGGTTAAAGATCATCTATTCAATTAAAAGTAGAAGCAGCCATAACTCCGCTCGCTCATGTAACGCTAATTTTCGTCGATACGCAGGTGCCTTTACTAAATTAATATAAGTTAGTCTGGTTATATTTAACTTTGTCTATAATGATAACAATAATAACGAATAACGAAAATGGCGCATTATTAGTTCGTCTGATATATTTCAACCCAATTCCATTTACCGGCACATAGCAATAATTACAGAATTAATATTGTACTGTGTATTAGTATGTCCTTATTCAGCGGCTTTTTTGATACAGTTCAGTCTATTTCGTGGAAGGCTTGCGAATCTTGGTGTGAATCACATTTAATTGGCCAAATCACGTGGTAAATGACAAGCACTACTACACTATTACTATGACAGTATAGCGGTGGACTAGTTACGGAAAAACTAGTGACAAACATGGCTTCGATTGTCTCAGATAAGGAATGGTTAAAGAAAAGTATTGAAGAAGGGAGCATCCGGTTTTACCCTTTCAATAACTTTACTGATACGGTGTACATCGGCGCTGGAGGATATGGTGCGGTTTTCAAGGCGAAAGCAAAGACACTTGGTAGAACGATCGCATACAAGCTTCTTCATTCACAAGACGACAATGAGAT